CCGTCTTTGGAAACCATTTGGCGTCCTCTGGGGCTCCCACATCTGGAGTTCTTCTTTCGCACTTCTGGCAGGAGCTGCTTGGTTTCGCGTTTTGCTGGGTGGCTTATTTCTGTATTTTTTTTTTTAAATCTACGTTCAGGAAGGCAGTGTCCTTCTCCCGGAGCTCCTGCTCGGGGGCTGCCCTGCCCAGCGCCTCCTCGAGTGCCCTTCTCCTTGCGCTTCTTGCGTCTTTCCCTTTTCTATCTCTCCCTTTAAGATCTGAGGGTTGCGGGCTCTTTGCTGGCTGTTTCCCCTGAGTTGCTCTTGCTGAGATTTCCCCTGAGCCTCCAGCAGCTGTGATCTGCCACCCCTCTTCCCTCGGTGCTGCTGAGCGGTGTAGACGTGCCCTCGCCTCCTCCCCTGCGGCGAGTACAGCCTGGTGGGGTCTGGATGACCAGGCACTGAGCTCTTTGAGGAGCTCCATATCTCAAACCATCTGCCCACTGTTTGAACTGGAGCTATAATTAGTATGGGGTCTACCTCCATTTTTAGGTCTTGGGCAGGTTTCTTGGGTCCTTCATCAATCTGAGAAGCCAGGACCTTGCATGCCTTGCCTCTGCTTCCTGAATGTCTGCAGTGGCAGCTTTCTGAGAACTCCATGAAGGCGTGCCCCCAATTCCTGTGCCCTGGACACCTTCTCCCAGACCTCAACATCTAAGCAAAGACCAGGGATTTATCTGAATGTGGCTTGACTTCCTTGAACTAATTCCTATCACAGCAGCTCCATCACCTAAGGTCAGGACTCCAAACAGTGCTTCTGCCCCTTGTTCCTGGATCTTGTCCCCTGGACCTGTCCTTTGTCCCCAGACCCTGCTGACAGTGCACACATGGCCATACCTTGCCCGAGTGTATGTTTGCTGTGATCTGTGGTCCCCGAAGATGGAGTTAAGAGGGGGGCACAGACCTGCTGCCACGTCCCCTTTTGCACTCTCCAAGGTGCTGTCCTGGCCACTGACCAGAGGGGCGGGGTCTCTGGTCCCAGGCCAATGGTTCCTCCATATGAGTCCACATTGGTCCTGGTTTGGGTTTTAGGAGCCCTCGATCCCTTCTAGGAAACAAACTTGTTTTGACCCAGCCTGGACTCAATTATAGCAGTTTGAAGAGAGTTGGAGACAGTGCATTGACCGTCTAGTTTCAAACCTCTCTGCCTCTCAGTCTTCTCCTTCAGGGCCTCCTTGATATGTGTTGTTCCATTTTGCCTTGGAGGTGGGGGAGTGTACAACTGTTGCATTCAGTTCTATAGAAAAGGAAATCCATCACCGAGGAAGGTGAATGACTATTCATAGGCTCCAGGTGACACCAGTAGTTGTAGTAATTGCCTTTCTGGTGTGGGAGAGTGATAACGTCGTGCTGCTCAATCTTCAGTTCTCCAAATATCTCACACAACAGGGGTTCAGGATTGCACCATTCATTAGTTGGTAGAGTTTGGGTAGGCCCAAATCTTACTCAGTGTCTACCTAAGAGGTTATGTGCCAGAATCACATGGTTGGGGTGTGAGTGCTTATTATCTGCAGAGGAACATTATTTCTTCCTCTTGCTCCATCTCATCTCTCTGCATTAAAGCCCCTGTGCTGGATGTGGAAATACTGAGCTGTATTTTCATTCTAGCTGGATGCTGCCCCATCTCCTCCACTACTGAGTGTGGGTGCTAGCTAGCTGTGGGCGGAGGGCAGAACTTGTGTTCCTAAGTATACACCACAGGTGCTTTTATGACATTGCTGTTCTGAGCAGTCTTTTTTAGTCAGTCTTTAGAGAAGCTGTGTTAATCCCAAACCATGCAGTAAAGAGACAGAGCACAACCTGGGCAAGGCAAGTGTAATGACTCTAGGATGACACTTATAGACAGGAAGATAATGTGGCTTCCAGTCCTCCACCCAACCTTTGGAGAGGATTCCCTGCCAGCCCAAGACATATCAGAGCCTTGAACCTAAGATTTGACACCTTGAAAGACAGGAGCATGACTATTGGAAAAAACTTTGGTATTCCTGGATGTGTGTAACAATAATGGAGTTGGAGAGTGTATGTGGAGCAAGACATGACTCTCTTCTGACAATAAGCTCCCTCAGAAACTTCTAGCTAGATGGGAATTAAAGCAAGCAAAGCACAACCTCGTGATGCAAAGAGTGACCTCATGCAATGTGGTGGAAGATCTCCAGCTTCCATCCTTCCTTAACAGTGCTGGCCGCCTAAGGTTCTGTAAGAATTAGGCAGAGTGTATGGTGCCTGTGGATCTCAGCATGTTACAGAGTCTATTAAACTTGGAAAGTGATCCTGCAAGGACTAGTTTACAGCACTCCCCTCCTATTAAGACTGAACACATCTTGCTTGATTCTTCTTCTGCCCTGCTATTCCCATCTTTCCATTTCCCCAGCAGGTGAGTAGTTATAGGAGAGGGAATATCCTGTTCTTATTTCACAATATGACCTATAAAATGCTCATATGAAAAGAAAAAAATGATTAAATAACCCTCCTGCCTGCTGAATTGAATGTCAGGAGTTAGAAAGGTAGAGAGACCCGTTCAAAGATTCATAAACCATGCTGACCTAACTCTAGTTGTGATAGCAGTAGTGAGGATAAACAAGGCGAGAACAAGCCTTCTTCATCACCTCTTTGACAGGCGAGGGTGAATGGAAGCCAGGGGTCACCAGAATGGGATTTAGTTTTTTCTTCTTATTTAGAGTCAAACACACCAGTAACAAGGTCATAATATAAATACTGGGAAACTTTTGTGCCCTCCCGCAAGGGAGGGATCATCATTGTAAGAGATGATGCAGGTGAAGGGTGGAAGGGGCAGTAGGTTGTGTTAGCATATTAAAGTCAGTCATTTGAGCTTTCTGTGGGAGAAAAGGAGACTTGAGCTTATTGGATAGGTGCATCCAAGGGGTTCGATGACCCTTTTTTTGGGTTGCTCGTGCTGTGTGATGATTGTGTGGCTGTCTTGTTGGCTGGTGCTAATCAAAGCATCTGGTGAAAATGAAAGCTGAGGTTTGGCCATCTCCCTTTTTTCTTTCCCTTTTGCTGTAGACATTGTTCGCAGCGACATTGCCCTGGATAAGCAGAAAGGCTGTAAGATCGCCCAGCATCCTGACATAATGTTGGAGCTACAGAGGGAAAAGGCAGCTCAGATGCACTTGGTTTTGTTAAAGGAGCAGTTTTCAAACACATACAGCAACCTCACATTAACAGGTAAGGCTGCAAGACCGGCTCTGGAGCCAGGAGCTGGGGCTAGTTCTTGCTAACTCACAGGTGTGCTAAAACCCTTGGGTGCTTCACCTCTCTATGAATCAGCATCTCTCTGGCTGCCTCTGTTTCCTACCAAGATCACTGGGTGCTGGGAGGGAAAGGACCATCAGGAACTTGTGGTGGACTCATAAGGCCTCTGCAGCTGGCACCTACTCCAGATTTGGTGCCCCTGGACAGAATGTTTTTTGCAGTCTGACCTAAGCAGAATACCACGGCACGTGAAGTGCTGGAGAAATTTCCCTGCTAACTGTTCACGTCGATGGGGCTGCAGCAATTACTAAATTTGGAGTCCTTTAAGCTGCAGCTGATTTTTTTTTCTTTCCAGAGCATGCACTTTGTGTGAACCCAGTAAATATTAAAGAGCAAATATAAAGGGATAATGGCCCAGACAGAGATGAGAGGATACTCTTTTTCTGGCAACTGTTTGTATTATCCAGGGAACAGAATCTCAAAGGATGGAGGAGACTGCCACATTTTGGATACACAGTTAATGGTGCTTGTAAAGGACTGATGTCTTCAGGCAGTGAGTGGGCAGAAGGATGGGATCCCAGCAGCCAGCAGTGTCCTTTCATAGCTGTTCTCCTTATCACTACAGCTGGATGAACCACAGATGATGGGAAGAAGGAAGAGACTAATAAATCAAACGAGATCCCTTTCTCCTCTTGCCGGGTCCCTCTCCTGTGAAGGGCAGGGAGGCATCTGATTTTTACGGGAGGGAGGGCCCCGCACTCTGGCTGGGGCGGAGATGGCAAGCCCTGTGGTGTCCCTTCCCCACTGTGGGGCTGGGAGAGGCAAGCGGGTCCTGGGCAACCTCGCCCCCTCTGCTGCCGTCCCTAATTCAATGTCCAGCCCCTGCCTTTAAGCCAGCACGGGTCTGTGTCCTCGCCAGGGACAGCAGTGCTGGCTCTCCTGAGGACGTCGGCCATGCTGGACCTCTTGAGGACCCCACAGAGGTGGGATGGCGATATCAGAGCTGTCAGAGGGCTCAGCCCTGGGGGGCTGTGAGTATCAGGGCCACTAGCGTGGCTGAATCACATCATTCCTGAAAGCCCAGTATTTAAATGGGATCCTCAGAGCTGTTTCTCATTCTCTGTAACGTAATCCACTTGGCTGTTTATTCCCAGTACAACTGCTGGAATCAACATTGTCAGCTTTTCCCCTGACAACTTGCTTACTTTCCACTAAACAAACTTCCCTCGAGAAGAGAAGCTGCTCTCCCCTATCCTCCTTGCCTCACTGCTTCAAAAGCTCTCTGGCATTGCTCACATTTTTTACAGAACCTGCAGAGCAGAGGTGCTACCTGGTTATCAGCTCAGCTCTTAGCCTTTCCAAGTATGTTTACAGGATAGTTCATAAGGTTTTAGCTCTAACTCTCCAGGGGGGAGTGAGCAATTTCACTGGAATATTACCCAAAGAGCTATTTTAATGTCCTTTAACTCCCTTTGAATGTGAGCAGAGCAACTTCATAATTGTTATGAAGTTTAATCTTTTATTTCATAGACATAGTCTGAGAACATGGACTCTAGACAGCTAAGCATAATATTTAACTGGAACTCTACTAACTTGTGTAAATATTTCCCTTCTCCATGATGGATCTGGTGTTTGGGGTGGGCAGAGGGGGTTGTACATCTGTTGCAGAAGGGCATTCCTTACCTTCAAAATGCAATCACCCAGGGTTTGCTTGAGGACTTCTTTTTGTTCTGCACAGTGGATTTGAACAGTGCTGCAGGGAGTCCCCAGGTCGTGAGGCAAGGTGCAGGAGCAAGGATCCAGACCTGGTTTAGGGAGGGACAGTGAAGGACTGAGCTCGCAAACATGGAGTGTCTGGGGGATCCCTGAGAACAGGATGTCCTCCTGGAGGTCTGTATCCAGGAGTCACTTGGCCTCCTGCAGTGCCTGTACTGTGGATGACCCTCAGTACTCAGTGTCCAACCTAGACTGGAGGAATATTCAACCCCACACCTCTGTGTAAGAGGGGGTCCCAGTACTGCTAGTTCCCACAGCACTTTGGTTACATTAAAGAAATGTAAGTAGAGCATCTTGCCCAATGTCATGTGAGAATAAAGGTACTTTACGATGGGATAGCTACTCTAGGAGAGCATGGGAGTAGGAATACCACCATGAGGCATCTTTATTCCCATGCTAATGCTGCTACCACTGTAGTTATTTGGATAAAAAGTCCCTTTCTCTGCCTCCTCCTCCCAGATGACATAGTTATATGAGCAACTTGAAAGACTATAGATCAGACCTCCCACGCTGTCTGCAAGTGTGGGCAAGTGATATTGCCATCAAACTTCCATGCAGTATCCTCATGGCTTTAAGAAGGAAAGCTCTTAGAGCGCAGGGAGCGTGATTCTGCAGTCCCTGTGGCACTAGTGTAAATCGGAGGCTTTTTCAAATCTATTCACCAGTTGCACATAGTTCCCAGTGTGCTCCTTATCTCAGCTATCAGGCAGGGTTGTGGTTTTGCACTGGGATTTAAGCCGCTCCCAGCAGCAGGTACCTCCAAGGTAAGAGGGTGTCTTAAAATGAAATGTGTTTTTTTGTGCTAAGACGCAACTGAGACTGAGTGAAACCAGGCAGTCTTTCTGGCTCTCATTTCTCCAGGAACACATGTTAGACTCTGGCTTAGGCCACTTTGATTTCTCTAGACAAGTATGAGCTTTCCTCAGCTCCTGTCTGCAGGCTTTCTCTTGTATCTTGCATTTGCTTTCTGTACGTGATCTTTCTAGGCTTACTGAGCCTGCCTCACTGAGATGAGCAGTGTCTTTGATCTGTGACAGTACTATTTCAATGCTATATAACATTTGGAGGCTTATTAATCTTCACTGCATCCCTCTTGGTGCTCAGAGATCGGTGTCTCGTTTCACAGATAAACATCTCTGATGCTCTCGGGTGAGCCCGTGGTAGAGTGGGGGGAAAGTGCACAGCATCTCCTGCTCTCCTCTGGGAACCGTCTCAGCTCAGCCCA